TTAAAATTCGTCCTTATTATCAGATTCTAGAAACTCAACTTTGGATGGATATTATTAGCAAGACTATGGCACCAAATGTTCCCATTTCTTCCACAATCACACCAGCTCGAAAACTTTCAAGTATTCAATTACCCACTAGGAATATTGCTCCTTTACAGCAAGTGAAAATATCTTCGAAAATAATAACCACTGAACAAGCAGTAAAAATAATATCGTGGATTAATGAAAAAAAATTATACGGTGCTTCTGAATTTTACTATGAATTTAAATTAATTCTAGTAAATAAAAATGGCGCCACTGATTTTTTCAAATCCTTTTGGAATTCATGTCGTAATAAAGGAGATTTAATATTAATATTGAGAGCTTCTACGGGTGAGATCCTTGGTGGATACACTCCTGTTGGCCTAGAATTTAATGTGAATACAACAATACTTGGACAATTAAAAACAAATCAGAGTTTTATTTTTTCCCTAGAAAATGAAAATACAAAAAATTCAATTCTTAGCAGAGTTATAAATGAAGATAATGCAATATTTATAAACAGTTTTTCTTCTAATATTAGATTTGGCAGCACTGATTTTCATATATATAAAGATTTTTCTAGTAACACAGTTCGTTTTAGTTGCAAGAAAACAGATTACGAATTTCAAATTAGTAATGCAAAAGCTTTTAGTATTATAGAAAGTATAGAAGTTTTTCAGATTATTAAGAAAAATTTATAGGAAAAACAATATAGCTCGTGTATTCAATTTATTTAGGCTATACAGAATGGGATAAACAATAGTCACAACATCTTTCTATATTAAAAATTTTGATTTGTAATTTTTAAAATTACGACAAATTAATCACATTGATTATTAAATATTTAGCTTACAAATGGTTTTTTTTAAAACATAAAATTCGAATATGTCAAAAGTATATACTGTATGTATACTTTTTAAAAAAATAGTTAATTAATAAGTTCAACTCTATGATATTACTAAATCAAATAAAGCAGCAGGTCTTTGGTCAGCCCTCACATAGCTAATTTGCTATCTGGAATTCTCATGTGTAATGCAGAATAAATAATTTGAAAAGGTGCTTTATGCTACGGTTGACTAATAAGTAACATATTCTCGTCAAGGTTTAGGAATTTGCAAAATAGAAAACAAATTTTGAAAAAAAAAAATAAGGGTTTGACCGTAGTGTAAATGCAAAATTTGAAGTAAAATAATACCGTATATGGTCTAAAAGAAAATGTAGACAAATAGTATATTACAATATGTTGATAATCAAAGCATTCATTGAAAATAATTACGATCTCCGGGTCCCGGTTTACTTGATAAAATAAAATCTGATACACGGGGGTTTTCAAAAAAATCCAAAATTTAAACGTAAAGTCACTACATATTAAACCTTTTATTTTATTAAGTATATATGCTTTTATGTATTAAGTAAGTGTAATATAGACAACAAATCTATATATACTAAATTTCAAATAACATTTTATTATCAACATTTAGAGTTTACATTTCGTGTGGCGATTTTTTTGTTTTTGATTCTAAATTTAATATTGGTATTATTTCTAAAACTAATGTTTTAACAAATAATATATAATTAATAAATATTGTTTATTAAGTTTTAAACTATTTGTGTATTAAATTTTATAAATTTATATTAAATATTTAAAAAACTATTTAATAAATAAAATTGTTACTAACAAAAATTTAAAATTTAAAATTTTTATCATTAGCTGTCACAGGACATTTCCCCTTAACCAAGATTAAAATGCCATTTATATAATACAATTTATATTGTGTGTAATGACAGTAGGATCGAAATGTCCCATGACTGTTAGTTTATAATTCTAATTTCTTATGAATTGACCTTACTGGATTAAATAAACTTACTTATTATAATAAATTCTATCTAAAATAAATATACAGTATATATAAGACCTGTGGGTCTATAGCACAGTGGTTAGTGCTCCACAGGTCAGATCACAAGATAATGGTTCAAATCCTCCAGA